GAATTTAATGAAGAGGAGCAAAAGTCTTCTAGGTTTTGCTCCACAGAACTTTAACTATGGATGGCAATATTTCTCTAAAGCCACTACTCAAGTTAATTTCAAAGGTGCTTCTCTCTGACAGCTCATCAGTGTCTCTTCTCAACCCTTGTTGCATCCAACCTTGTCCCAGTTAATTTTTGTCCCTTATGGTCTGCTATGTCCCTTAACTATGACCTTTGATCCTTGCAGTAGAATGACTGAAGGAAGGGAAAGTACAAGTCCAGGGTGAACAAACATTAGAAGACAGATTTATCATCAACAAAATAGACATAAAGAAAGGTCCAGGCCCGATCTCAGCATCCTCCAACTGCTTCAACAAGCTAAACATTCAAGTTTGAATGTTCCTGCAGAAATTCAGCAGGAAGGTGGCAGCCTGAATGCGCAGAGATGTTCCATAGAAGGGGCCCACCACTGAGAAGGATCCATTATGGGGTCCATGCTGGTGGAATTCTCTTGAGGACAGAACCTCAGCAAATTGATGACCCTTCAAAGTGATGTTGGACGGACCGGCTATTTTATCCTGGTATAAAAACATGCTGCAGCTTACCTTGACTTCACCCCCTTGGCAGCTAACCATTCCCAATGGGTTCTTTAGGGTGTACCCCCAACACATGGGTCCTCCTCCTCTGTGTTTACCTGCGTACAGTATCCGTGCGCACCAATCAGTGTGTTTCTAATGTCATCCAGATCTCCACGAACTCTGTTGGGGAAAGGAACAAGTACCTTATAAAAATTAAATTTAAGAAACTGCCTTGCATTTTATTTATTTATTTATTTAATTTATTTATTGGATTTCTCTCCGGCCCATCTCCCTTACAATAGGGGACTCTGGGCAGGATTTCTTTATCCTTCCCTTGAATCTGGTTGTCTCCTACTGAAGGTGGACAGATGTTTGAATATACATTAAAGACACGACCTTTTGAAGAGGTCCTTCAAAATATCTCATCTAATAAAATGCCAGGAAGATGATGGAGGGAGGAATGCTTATCCCAGGGATCTGGGGCTTACATTCTGACAGGGCAGACTCCCATAAACAGCATCCTGTTAGTTTTCCCATCAGGAGTACATTGCAAACAATCAATTCCTGTTTAAATTACAAGGAAGTAATTTTTAGTTGGATGTCAGGAAGAATGTCCTAATGGTAAGAGCTGTTCCTAATGGAACAGACTGTCTAAGACAGTGTTTTTCAAATTTGGCAACTTTAAGATGGGTGGACTTCAAGTCCCAGAACTCCCCTGCCCACATGAGACCAAATTAGCTCTCAATTCATTTTATTCTATTTTATTTATTTATGTGTGTGTGTGTGTGTGTAGGTTATAGGTCATTTTTAACTGAATCCCCCAAAAGGAAAAGCACTGAAAATTAATCCTAGTTCCTCCTGAGGCCTCCCAGGGGACCCAGATTTTGCACAAATCTTCCAAGAATTCTTACAAAGAGGAGACCACGCATGACTGGAAGGGCTTTGCTGAGATCTGTATTTGATGGGCACAACGTGATGTGGAACATTTGCAGGTACACACATGGGGGACACATTAAACCAAATACATCTTTCCAGTGGGGGGCAGCCACACGGCCCCAGGAAAAGGCTCAGTGGGATCAAGGTATTCTCAACCAATGTTGGGTGCACATTCATGCATGCTGCACATCAAATTCTACCCTTCTAATCCAAATGTCTGAACAGTTCTCATGGTTCACTGAAATCTTACCCAATTCTTTTAATTCAGCCAGAACACATGACATTTGCACAGTGAAAAATTAACCCTACAGCACAGCTTTTTGTGCATTTTGATCCTCTGCACGCTTCAAGCCGTTTTGTTAATTTTTCTTAAAGAAATGAAATATTTAAACCTTTTCACTTAAAAAGAAAAATGAACCCAAACCACAGGATACATTTTCAGTGGCCACATCCGGCTTCCAAAGGAATCAGAGGACTAACTAGGATTTGAACTAAAAATCATATCTCCAAATCAAATACTAATTTTTTAGAAACACTGATTCTAAAAATAAAACCAAAGAATAATTGTGATTGTTCCTTGCAATGCCAAAACGAAACAAACCATATCAAGGAAGCATTTGGTCTAAAAAAAGCTTCTTAGCTGCTGCCATGGAAATTGAGTTGCTCTCAGTAAAAAGGGTTTATATTAATAAATCACCATCATCAAAGAACAATTCTAAGAGTTGATTATGTTAGTGACTCTTTCAAAGAATGTCAAGTCCCGAATATTCACGGAAGAAGTAGAAAATGGGAAGTTGAAGAGATTACTGAATATCTGTAGGCCACTGGCCATTTTTTCACTGAACAGCCGCCACTGTGAAATTCCCATGGCTTTGCTTGAAGCCAACTCACTGATGAAACATGCGTCAAACAGGAGCTGTGGGACACCAAGTGTGGACAATAGAAGGAAGTTCTAATTCCATCCTTGGGTGCAAATGTTCTGGGAACGCCAAGTTGAACCTAAGACATTTGAGGAGAAGCAACATCTGTGTTTTACATTAATTTCTCCTAGAGAGGAAATAACCCCTGACTACTTGGCATTTCTTGAAGTTCATGGAAGCCCTCTTTCCAACATCCCAACATCCAGATGCATTTGGACTATGAGGACTCCAAGGGTTTTTGGCCAGCAAGGCCAATGGGAGTAATTGGGAGTAATTCCAAGATAGCTTGGAGGGGCTTAGTCTAGAGAAAACTGAGAAACATACAACCTACAGAAACTTGCAGTAGCTAAGTATGAACATCCAAGATGGTTGTACCAAGTGTAGAGAGATTTAACCAGAGATCACTCTCCCAGAGAAACAGATTTTGAAACTGGTTCAGACAATTAGATCTTCCCAGAATCCCTACTTGTCTGTCTGTCTTTTGGCCTGCTCTACCTTGAAATGCTGACACTTCCATAACAAAAGGATCTCTTGCTCTTCACCGAAGAGGGCTCCTAAAATCCAGATGACCACTTGTTGCAACAAAAAAGTCAGGAGACACTTTCTTCTGCCATCCCCTGGTCACCTGGAGTTCAGCAGCCCAAATCTGGTAGCCTTGATTTAAAAAAAAGGGGGGGGGGGATGATGTGTGTATTTGAGGTGTGACCCTTTTCACTTCCTTACCCATGTGCTGAAGCTATAAACATATTACATAAAGTGAGAGCCAATTTGGTACGATGGTTGAAGGGAGCAGGCTAAAAACCAAGAGACTGTGAGTTCTAGTCCTCCGTCAGGCATGGAAGTCAGCTGGGTGACTTTGGACCCATCTCTCCCTCTCAGCTTAAGAGCCAGGTGGTAGATTAGAAACTAGGAGACCCTGAGTTATAGTTCATCCTTAGAAGCTTCCTGGGGGACACTGGGCCAGGCCTTCTCTCAGCCCAAGAGTCAGTGTGATCTACTATGGAAGGAGCTGGACCAGGGGTGGGGAGATCCATCTTCCATCCCTCCTTAACCATAAAAGCTCTCTGGAGGTACTGTGGACCAGCCCCTCTCTCTCAGCCCAAGAGCAGTGTGGTGTAGTGGTTACAGGTGGTGGATTAGAAGCCAGGAGACCCTGAGTTCTAGTCCTGCCTTGGGCACGAAACCAGTTGGGTGACCTTGGCCAGTCTCTCTCTCTCTTAGCCCTGGGAAGAAGGAGGCCAGGGTCAACCACTTCCAAAAATGTTGCCAAAAAACTGCAGGGGCTTGTCCAGGAGCCAAAACTTGACTCAAAGTGGAAAAGAAAAAGGGAAAAAGGAAAGAAAATTCCATAGAATATCCCTTAACATTAGCAGAATGCAGTGTGGGTCAGAAGCAGAAGTTGAACTTGGGTTGGGAAAAAACAGAAAATGTCTCAAATGATTACAAAGGGATTTTTAAAAAAGGACAGTCATTGTGGGTAGCGGGGGGAGGGGGCTGAATTCTCATTTGGCCATCTGTATATTTTCTAAAACTTATTGTCATATACATTCCCCCACCTGCCTCTTATAAAACAGTGTGAGCAGCTCTTCATAATGCATCTCTAGATTCTTAACTTTTTAACCTTCTATCTTAATGTCTCCAATACAGTGTTTCTCAATCTCAGAGACTTTAAGCTGAGGCTGAGAAACACTGCTCCAATATCTCTGTTTCATTGCTGGATTGGTTTAATTTTCTAAATTTTACTGTATTTTATCTGGTTGACTGCATCAAACATTCATCTGGCTAGCTTTCTACTTCCTTCTGCATTTTATTATGCAGCTTAGGAGTGAATTTTTTTTTTTTTATGTTCAATATTTTTCTACGACGGTGTGACTTTATACAACCCCTAAAGAATCTGTAACGAAGATTTATAAAATGTTGACAAAAAATTAATGGTGAGGTTTATCTGGGAAGAACTTTGTTCAAGGAAGCTGAACAGATTTCCAGGGGAGGAGGAAAAAAACCTTCATAAAAAAAATAGTCTTCTAAAACGCAGGCCACATTTTTTTAAAAAATGGCCAGGATGATAAGGATATTTGGAACTGTAGTCCAATACATAGCCCATTCTTGTGCTGGCTTTCTACTTGCGCTGAGGTCGGATCTGGTACTGCTCACTTTATTGCTGAATCTCTACCAGGTGACCCCTGTATTCTTCTGCAACACCTTCAAGATTCAACCTCACACTTTGCAGGAAAGTTTTCAGAATAAGGTAAAGACACAACATTTCTGAAACACTGAAGTGATAATAGAAAGATGGGCTTTAGTGAGCCACCAGAGAAGATGGCCCATGAAACCAAAGACAGGTCATAGGAGGAAGGGCACACCAATAATCTTTGCAAAGAGAACATAGTTGAACTTCACGAGAGAGACGGGCAAATTTACCAAAAGGTAAGGTACTTGAAAGACACGGCATCTTGAGCTTATAATCAAGCTAATAGGGTTGATTAGGTTGAATCACATTTTCCATAGATTAGAATAGATTGGTTTTAATGGAGCAAACAGCCTTCTCCTTGACCTTCAATGTTCCCAAGACTCTGTTTTCTCAGCACTATTGTTTTTTTTTCCTCTTCCAAAAAAAAAAAAAGGATGGGATTTTTAATTTTGTTTTTGTTTTTTAAAAAAAACTACATTGGTCATTGTTTCTTTCACCTTTTTTTTTTAAAAAAAAACAAAGCTGCTTCACAAAGAACAAGTTTAAAAACTTCGAGAGTTTTGGGGACACTGAACTGAGATCTGTATCTTTATTCAAAACATGCTTCAATCCACATGGGATCCATGTTCACAGAGATTTCTGGCAGCCAGTTGCCTGGCTAAAATTATCATCACCTTCCCTGTATGTTGAACAGTTGCTTCGCTGTAGCATCTTATTCCAGAAATGTTTTTGATTGCTCCAGGGAGGTTAGAGTTAGGGCCTTACCCCGAGATACAACTAGCTAGTGGTGTTCACAGTTGGGCAGTGAACAGAACGTTTTAGAAGGTGGTGGCCTCACCTTTGGGGCAGGTATTAGGTGTCCACCTAGATTAGTCTTCCCCAACTGGACAACTTTCAGAACTGTGGACTTCAACTCCCAGAATTCCTTAGCCAAGATGACTCTTGCTGAGAATTCTAGGAGTTAAAGTCCACACTAGATACCCAGGTTGGAAGACACTGGTCTAGATGAAGGCAATGACCTTTTCCAACTCTAGAATTCAGTGAGTTGATTTTCACAATCATTCCTTGATTAAGCACTTGTTGAGATTAGATTGAGCGGTACAGTCTTCTACATGGGCCTGCCACAGCTACGC